AAATACGGGGAAGGTGCTATTTAACATGGCAACGAAACATTCGACATTTAGCCCGTCATGTTCATTATAGCGGCGTTCCACTGTAATTAAAATCAGGAATCAGGAATATTTACCTGTGCTGGTACATGTACATGTAAGTACCTGATACATACTTGTATGTATGTTTGGGGCCCCCCGCAAAGCATTCTTTCAACATGAACTTGTACATATACACACCTGTTGTACTTGTTTTTTTTCTGGTGTGTATGAAATGTACATGTACGTGTATTTGCCCTTCGTACATGTGTACAAGTTCATTGACTGAAAATGAAAGAGATTTGCCATTTGTGTAAACGTTTGTATGTGCAGTACATGCAATTAGTACTTTCATTTTTGTAGGCTCAGTGACCTTGTCCTGCCCACTTGTCCACATCATTCTAGAATGCATTTTGTTTCTCATGCGCACAATCATTGTGTCATTGTCATGTGCCTACATGTACATTCAGCCCAAACAACATCTGGCGGATGCATCACAAACTACTGGACTATTTAACTGTTACATGTTGACTTTTTGTAGACTAGTCAATTCAGGAAACATTGCGCTAGAAAAATAACCCACAGAGTTTTCATTGTCAGGACATGACCAGTAATCGTTGCAGGGAACATGATGCAATTAATAGATGAGATGATTTCTAAAATAATCCACCTGACTGTAATGAAAGTTTGAATGACCAGATTGATAATCACAACATACATGTACGTGTATGACAAAATTCGATATGATCGGCTTACCTTAACGAGAAAAAAATTAATGTACATAAATTTTTACATGTAAGTACAATTTCAAAACTTTCAGTTAACATCATAACAATTAATATTTACAGCATAATTTAGATTTTTCCTTTGATGGCAGTTGTAACAACCTTTTTCCTTTCAAACTACCAGGGGTATGCTGGTATTTGTTGTACCATAACTTAAGAATTAAAAAAAAAGGTTACAGTAGTGAAGTCCTTTTGTTCAAACTCCCACTCTTGAGAGAGTTTTTGGTCATTTGGTCCATTGCAAGGTCACGGCATTATGAATTTAAGTCCCTGCTTGTAGAACTTGTATCGTTGGATAGGAGACTAGTGCATTCAAAACTGAGCCTGCAGTTGGATGGATATTGCTGAGGAAAAGACTAGTGTGTGATTTGATTGGTCTGTTGGCTGCTTTGTGAATGGCACCTGCTCTCCTGATTCAAATGCCTCAAGTTCCTAATGTGTGGATTAAAATTGTTATTGCAATCACCATGACCAAGAGCTCCTTTAGCTTTTTTTTGGGGGGGGGAGTTATTTCTAGGCAAAAAGGGTACACGTGCACTCTTTGTGCATATCCTCTATTACGTAAGCCACGTTAAGGCTTTGGAAGAGAAACTTCCCCACCACTTTCTATTTGAGTATTTGTATGTTTCGATTGTGTACAGGAAAGTACACATTGATGTATACTGCACTATTGAGCAGAGTTTCATGCTGTGCAAAATCAATGGACAAGGATTATCAGTTACAATATGTAACTTGCATGTGCTGCATACAAAGAGAAAGACGGACAGGCACTACACCTGGCGTACAAGCAAAGGCTGCACATTCAAACGAAAGCTGGATGTATTTTTCTAATATGCTTTTCTTTGGCCAGTAGACTTTTGTGCACGTATGATACTCGAATCTCCATGAAACCTGGACATGTGGTACAAAGGTTTCCTGTGTGAACAAGAGCAAAAGGGTTTTTAATAAGTTATTCCTACATCCTCTATGCATGCTTGTTGGTACCTCTCTGGTTCACAGCAGTATGCTTTTGTATTGTCACAACCTCCCTTATTTACCATTAGTGAGGGGTACCAGTTCTTATGCACAGAATAAATTTGACAAAGTTAATTGTACTATAATAGAACACCCCAATGTCTCATTGACATTGCAACAAAAGCAAGAAGTCTACAATCAGTAAAAGATTTCCATTGAAGGGTTTTGCAATATTGCCATGCCAGGAAGTATGGGTACAGTGTGAATGTTTGGACCTCCAGACAGGAAACATGTCACAAACTCCTACCACACCGTAGTTGAGCATCTGCCTGAAAAATCCCGCATGTACGGCGTATTGCTTAATATAGGCTGTTAAGTTTCCCTCGTGATGGAATTTCCAATTACTGCATAGTCACGGGATAAAGTAGGTCACTAGTACAGTATAAATGAAGTGGAAGATTCCAGTGTCATTAGAAACCTTGCACTGGGTCATTAGCTTCAGTTGTGCCTAGTCTTGTACTTTCAATTTTGAGTTACCTACAATTTCAGATTTCATCAAGTTTGTCATGGTACTTGTTCCTTGTGGTTTAAAAGACTTGGTACTCGCTTCTGGCCAGTTTATTTAAACTAAGACCAAATTGTATCAATAATGGCACTATTAAAGAAACGCACAGATGGTTGGAGGACAACAACATGGTAAGTAACTTGAAAATTGGATGTGATAGGATTTGTTTTGAAGCATTTATTGCAAAGGATGTAAAAACCTGCAAAGTTTTTCTGTGAGAGTTTCATGGAGGACCCAGGAACTTGGCTTGATATTTTTTGTATGAATTGACTTAGTGACATTGTGAACTGAGTAATTTCCATGCTTTAGTGATTTTCATTTTGTTTGTACACATGCATACAGGTAGGTTTGATTAGTCTGGGGGGAATCCTCAAGTGCCCTCGTACTGTGGCAGGCTGTTGTAACAAATACATGTAATAGCTGTTGGATGCAATCAGTTAATCTGTGCAGTTTTTTGCATGATCAATTTTATTGCATGTTTTTTTAATAATTCGGCCATCAGCCGGTCGCTTTTCCTTTTTAATTCATAGTTGTAAATTTGGAAATTTTATTTGAAATCCCAAGGGTGTTTATTTCTGAAGTCCAACTTGGTAATAGAGTTTGACTGTTTGTACCAGAATCTTGCCTAATTTAAAAAGTTGGAATATGCACCCAAAAACAGTCCTGCCTCTGAGATACATGTAAGTTCACTGCAAAATAAAATCTGACATCAACTTGTTATTTTTGCTACTACTTACAATGGATAATTTCCTGTTGAATTCTCCAGGCATATCCATGGCTCACCTGTTGAGAATCGTCGTAAACCAACCCAGGCTGCCACAGTTCCTCCCCCGGGTGTTTCCCATGGATCACCTCAATCCAGACGGGCCTATCGGTACCCCTTAGACCAGCAGCAACAGGCTCTTTCCTACCAACAACAGCAGCAACAACAACACCAGCATCAGCAACAGCAAGCATCTTTTGATCAGTTGCGGCGGCTACGCTCAGACAGCGAGCCTGTGGAGCCCAGCCCCCATGCGCTGGTTGGGGTGGAGAAACGACGCAGATCCTCCACAGACAACTCCCGCATGCATCACCATCCGGGCTTTGAGAGACAGAACTCTGGCCGTGGAGATGCCTTACGAGGCGTGGATCTACTCCGCAGTAGTGGCAGGTCCTTTGAACGGGATGGTTCACCTCCAATGGGCTACCAGCAACGGGGCTCACCACGGTACCAGGATGGTGTCGGAGTAAACTCATCTTCACAAGGTGATATGTACAGAGATGGCTTTGGCGGTGGAAGCCCCCAGTTTGGGATGCCCTATGGTCAGGGGTACCCACCACACCCACAAAATAGGCATTACCAACATGAACGGTCAGATAGCCAGCTGTCTATATCAAGCCAGCATTCAGTAGGGGGTGGAGTTAGTGGAGGTGGGAGTGCGGACCACCAGCACCATCATCATCAGGAGGAAGGTTCACCAGTCAGAACTGTCCAAGATGATATCCGCAAGCCCGTACCCTCCCCACGTCTGAAGAAGAAGAGCAAGATGCCCCGTATGGGCCTTGGAGCTGTGCAACACCATGCCCAGCCCCCGCCCCATCCTTCCCCAACCAGTGCCCATGGCCATGCCCCACACCACCCCCAGCAGCAGCATTCCATCCCTGGTATCCCCCACTCGCAATCAGGTGAGCGTTTCCAGCAGTTTCAGCAGAGCCCTCCTCTACAGCATGGGCAGTTCCAGCCCCAGCTCCCGCCCCCTCCACCTGTCAGTGATTACCGCTCGGGTACACCCACTTCTGCCACGACAGCTTTCACATTTCCCCAGCACCTGGGCCACTACCCTTATGACAGACAGGACTCATTTGAGGGTTCCCCAACAACGGTCCCAGTCACTTATCACTACAATGTCCAGACACCGGACTCCAGCGCCAGCCAAGACTCCTTCACCCCATTGGAGTCCTCTGACTTGCCCCACCACTACCCAACCAAAGCTGAGTTCCGCTCGAACCTCCACAAGCACTCAGAGAGCCAACTCTCACAGACCTCCCAGCACTCATTATCATCTCAGCACTCAGATTCCTCCCTCCGTCAGATCACTTCTGACTCCCAGTCCTCAGATGATGTGCTCAGAAGCAGCACTCCACCCCAGCAACCAAAGCCAGACAATCACCTTGTGCATTCAGTGCAACAACAACAGCAGCAACAAGCACCTCCACAATCTGAGGACTCTACGTCCCAGCATGTGTTCCCCAAGGCCTCCCAGGTCCAGAAGTTCAAACCCAAGCAGAAGCCCAGGCGTATCATCGAGGATGGCCCCAACCCCATCTACGAGAACCTGGACTTCATCCACCAGAAGCAGCGTGAGGACCACCAGAGGGTGAGGTTACGAGAGCTGGATCAGATCCACTATGCCACACTTGAACCTCCTCAGGTGCCACCTAGGCAGCGCAGGCCACTGTCAGGTATGCCACCTGCCATGAGTATCATCCCTAACGGGGACAGTGAGGTGATCGAGGAGGGCCAGCTAGACCTGAGGGATGATGGGTCACAGGAAAACCTCAACAAGAGCTTTGACTCAGATGGTAAGCATTGCATAAATCCACTATCCCTGTTGACACTGTTTAAAGTTCTAGACAGTCTATCAAGAACTTTCCTGCTTTCTGTCCTCATTTTAGAACAAACTCGGATTGACTTTAGTGAAATGTCGGCAAAACTTGATGCTAAGGACTGAGGCAGAAAGGAATTTGTTAAGTGAGGAAGCTAATCCTATTTGATCAAATTTTGAAAGCTACAAAATCACATCTGTTGTTAAAACTTTGATATTTTAAAATAAATGAAGATTTAGAAAATAGAACTCCTAGCCTGTACAGTCACAGACCTTTTATTATTTCAGGCACTAAGCATGTTTCATTGCCTGAATCAGTGCTATATATCTGGCCTTGTCCTGTTGCTTAATCTTTTTTTTCCCTCCAAACTTTACCATCAAGACCATTTAATGCAAAACTGCATTGATGAAATATTTTGCCGTGGATACAAATAAATGTGGCTGACTCAAAAATAAAATATGAGCAAAAATTTTACCAATAGAAAATGATGATGAAGTCAAAGTCTCCCAGGAGGCACTGGTCTCTGAGGACCTGGGCTCTGTTGCCGAGGACGGGACGCTGAATGACGGTACAGTTCCCAATGAGGACCAAGAGGATGATGAGGACGAGCAAGGAGAGACAGTTCATGAATCGCTACGACGCACCAGGAAACAACAACAGCAGGACAATGGAAGTATGGCACCCTGCCTGCTGCCCACGCTAGAACGTAGCATCTCAGTGCAGGACCAGCGCCCCTCCTCACTGGTAATTGGAATGGTTAAACCCCCCTCTGACGAGTGGAAGGTGGGTGGTTCTGCATGCATAATTTATCAGTTCAAGAGAGGCCGGCCCCAGTGAATCTGCATGCATAATTAATCACATGGAGACCTGCTGGTTTGCTTTTCTTTTACCCCCTTTTTGTTTACTTTTCAGAATTTGGTTTTTGGGTTCAGGTATCTTTCCTTTGCATACCCATCCAGTATCATGAATTCATTATTCCTGCCCTGGAAAGAAAAGTCTGATCAGAAATGCTAGAAAAATGCACTTTGGATGCAATTGATCATTGAACAAATTGCTCAAAGTTAAACATGTTTGCAGTTACTGACATGAACTTCAGTTGAAAGCTTTACTGCTGTATGCAAGTATGATTTTGGAAAAACTTTCAGTTTTGCTGCAGCAGAAACTATCGCATTGCAGATTTCCACACTTAATGTTCTGATTTACATATTAGTTGCAAAACGTTTGCTTTCATATCCTACTAATTCAATAGTTCTTGCTTGCCCAGAAAAACCTGAAGACAGGAAAGTCAGATTTCCAAAAAGTGCAGAATTAATCCCACCTTCCACAAGTCCCATTCTTTCTTAATTCTATTTTGATATTCATCTATTTCTCTCAGTAATTCTTTGGTAAGTTTGTGTTCACATTTTTGATTTCATATTTGAATAAAATGTTATTCTCTAATTTGAAAGGAGAGAAATCAGTGGAGTGAATTCTTCCATTGATCCAGCAGTAATACATGTGCTTGTAGATTAGATCGTACATGTAGCTTAGATCAGTTTAGCCTAGTGAAACCCATTGGAACCCATCCTAACCCATTCTAACCAGGCCACGCAAACCCTCCATGCCTTACATGAACCCAATGTAGCCTTGCCAAACCTCTCCTAATAGATAACACACAAATTGTTTGGTGCAAGGGTGAATCTGTTTGTTTCTAGATTGAATATCGCATGTCAGTACTAGTATCAGGACCAGTACATATGCTGTACTTTTGAAAATGAATTTCTGACATGGCAAATATGCTTGCAGTGAACACTTTTCAACTTGGGGGAATTTCTAGGTGAACAATTCTTGATGTCAACTTCTTGTTGGTCTTGGCTTGTGACTTCAGAACTTGACTGCACCTTTATAGAAGGTTCAAATTGAAAAGTGCACCTGGCACTTCCTGTTCTTACACTTCTGAATAACTCATGACTATATCCTGAAAATAAACATGTACATGTATTGTCACATGCTGGAAGAAGGATGTTGAGACATTTTTCAAACACAACTACCTTTTTATAGCTACATGTATCTTAATATGCCCTTCAACAGGTGGTACCATAACCCAGTGGTAATGTAATTTCCACATCTCTGTCTTCAGCTGCTGTCAAACAACAAATTCATACTTGAGATTGGTTGGTGTACATGTACTAACATACCGGTGTCTTAGACAGAATTACCTGCTGCAGCCTTGGTCTGGGTGACTGGTGATGGATATCCAGTGTAGTGTTGTTTTCAGGCTGCACACAAGCCACGAGTCACACAACAGCCACTTAATTTTTGTATTTTTAAGAACACCAATGTTTCAAATATTTGCCTTGTTGTAAGCCACATATAGATTCATTTACTCAGTGTCTGGAAACATAGACTCTCATTCAGGAAGTACTTTTTTAAAGCTGATATTTCTGGCTTTGGAGCTTTCATGCATAAAGAGACAGCTCTACTCATTTAAATTGGAGAGATTGTTTAATCACTGTCTTGCCTTTAAAAGCAATTTACATGTACATATGCACAGCCAGTCTTAGAAGTTAGACTTCAGCTGTTTTTCTGTGTATAGGTGCACATACAGTACATGTGCACATTCTTCGTATGACGGGGAGTTTCTTATGCAGTCAGAACAAGTTGTGATGGATCACCTATGTTCAAGAAATAAGGGCTGCACCATACTATCCTGCAGTGTGTCTCACAGTCTGGACAGGCAGTAAAGCTTCATACACGGACATTTGTAGATTTTATGTTATCCATTACCATTTTTGCCTAAGATATTAGTCAGTGCTTTGCTGACTTACAAAGCAAGTACATGCATCAGCACTGTACATGAACATGTATCCATCAGTAAAAACAAGTATGAAGGAGGGCTCCAAAATGGGTTTCAGTTTTGTCCAGAGGAGATAATTACGTGTACATATGGGCACTTGCACTTTCCTTTAGCAGGTGTAAAACAGCGATCACTATAATCCAAACAGCCTACCCCATGATAAAGGGTGATAAGGGTATGGGTTTTTGACACTTCCAGGAAGACTATACCTAGTGATGGTTTCGGATGCTGGTAGTGTTTTGTAGGCCGTGGTTGATCAGTGCTGTAACCCTCACATCTTGCATGTATTAGTGTAATGGTGGTTTACTATGCTTGGCCTGTTATTTCTGCTCAATCCCAGCGCAAACAATGATCCATGTACCAGCATAGTTCCAGGGAGAGAAAAAAGGGCAAATGAAGCGGTGTTGGTAGGGGGAGCTGTCTCCTTTGCCATATTTTGTGGTCAGTGCAGTGGTGTGCAGTGCATCAACCTGTTGGGGTTATAAGTTTGATGGCTGTGCAGACCATGGCCAGTTTCCAAATTGTGGCTTTGTCTACGGCTATGTTTTCATCTTCAAGAAGCATCACCTCACATTTGCTGCTGACAACAGATGGAAAAAGTTCTAAACTTTGGCTTCACTTGAAATATTTGTTGATTGATGTGTTTGTAGGAAAACATTGGTGTTTTTGTGCATGTAGGACGCTACATTTTGTCTCCGTCATACTTCTGAGAGTATACCTCGGTGTTGCCAGCATTTTTCCAGGGGAGGGCAGACCACTTTTTCAGATATGGGGGGAGGGGATTTCTGGTTGGTACACTCATCAGCTAAAAAAATGAAAACTCATTATTGGATGGAAGAGGTGACTTTTGAGGTTTTTTCAAGCAAATTGTTGATTTTCCTCCGCATGATCATTTGGGCATCTTATCACACGGGAGAGGCAAGTGCCACCATGTCCCCCCCCCATGTCCATGAGGGTACATTGTACATGTAGGGGATTCAATTCATGGAACTCAATTTGAAATTGGAGATATGGCCTAATCCAAGATGTTGGAAACAGCCCACGGTTATTTTTCTCGTGATGACGCACATTTTTAAACTGTGCAGAATTCAATGATTGGCTTTTTCTTGTTGATGTTTGGCATTGGTCTATGTTATACATGCAGCATGTAGATTTGTAATCAGAACTGCAGTTAACTGTTGTGACTTTTGATGGGGCTGTTCACATCAATATGTGTATGTATGTTAATGAGAGGTCATAAAGGGGTTCTCATTGCCTTATTCAGGGACACCACACATAGCCTATATGCATTTAAACCACTCATCCTTAGATCACTAGCCATTAACTCAAACTTATGCCAAGCTGTGCAAATAATTGCTGTAAGTAAGAAGTTACAAAAATTAAGTAACCACCACTTACCAAAAACTGCTTAGCGCAAATGTGCATTAAACTGCAAATGTCACACTACAACTGTACATGTACGGTAGGTGTCTAAAATCATGACACTGAGGTTAAGGCTTGGATTGAAGCAATACATGTACGTGTAGCCTAGTAAACACGTGGTACTATCTGCAGAGGGATCCACTATCTTGACCAAACCTGTGCTTCCTCCACCCCCAGGGATCCCCTGGGGCAGTGCACATCCCTGTAGACATACCCCCTACCTCTGTGGGGATTGCTGATATCTGCTGTGACCCAGAGGATATGAGAATGACTGATGCAGGAAACTATCAATGAAGAACAATTAAGACCTTCAATGAATGAAATCATTGCCTGCTGACAACCAACCAAGAAGATGCTTTTTCCATTCAACTTATTGGCATGTCTTGGTCTGTAGAGGAGGATTTATGTAGTAAAGAGAAGTGTTATTCCTTGTTGATGTTTACTTTGTCATTCTCAGTTGGAGCAGACAGTAGTCAGGCACTCGCAGGATTCTCTTAGCATTCATCGTCATCCATACCTGTTCTTATGTTTCAAATTATTTGCATGCAGCAATGGTTAATACCCATCACAACAAAAATACCCCCCCCCCTGAGTATATGCACATGCACTTTTAGAAAGGAAATAAACAATTACCCGATAACTGGTAATCAGCTCTTTATAGCTGGCGCCCACCATTACAAGTCAAATTCCTTCCTTCCATGCAATTCATTACTGTGTGGGTGTTAGCTGAGGGGAATTTCTCGTTGGTTGTTCTGAGGGACAGTGTGTTGCTTCCGTGACAGGACTCAAGTGGCAGGAACAGGGTTATCCTCCTCAGACACTGACAGAGTGTCTGGGAAAGATTTGATGAGTGAGTTTGAAGTCATCTTGGATTGGCTTCAAGTGTGATGTAGTGAGCTGAATCGTCAAAGTTTTTTCACCATTTCAACATTGTCTCCTTGTTCTCATTATGCTTGTGAGATCAACTGTTCATGCTGTGGAGATAACCATTGAACCCATAACCAGCTACGTAGAGAAGATAACTCAGCCAAAGCTGATTTGAGAAGCTCTGAATAAAATTTAAAATTGCAATTTAAGCTTTTTAATGGTATTTGTTGCTGGTTGTAAAGGAGGAAAGAAGACCGTCATGGTAGAAGTCAGCCAGAAATGAATTCACCACTGAGTTCAAAAGCATCTGGACTGTAGTTTCTTACAGTAAAGTTAGAAATGTGTGCTTACTGGATTTGAACCACAGTCCACTGATGTGGATGCTCTGAGTCACTAAGGAAGCCAGACAGATTGTCGGTAAGCTCTGATCGGAGCTGCAGACCACAGTTTCAGAGGTTTTCATCTTTAAGTGTAACAGGGATTAGCCACAAGAACTGCCCGTTTAAGTTCAAGTGAGTGCATCAATGGATATCAATCATATCAGTGGCCCTAGTTCCAATAGAATCCAACAATTCTTCACCATGGTTCAACAGAGAATCTGCATGTGTCTGTGTGGAGAGATCTACATTGGAATCCACATGGTATGGCTATTGGTGATAGTCTTGCATGAAAAGAATCTCCATGACATTTTTCAGTTCTTGGAATTTTTCGACAATTTTTGCTTGTCATATCAATACCTTGGTCTGTTGGTTATTCAGAAGAATATGGACATTGTGTAGATCAAGGTTTGGACACTTTCTTGTGATAGCCGTTGTGAAAGATGTGTTTAAGAACCAGTAGTTTGAAGGTATTTAAGTTGACTTACATGTAGGTCTCAGTTTGCTAGGTTGGGTGATATTTGTCAATGAGGTTTCACTGTAGGTGTCTGCTTAAACAAGCTTCTCTCAGACATCAAGCCAAATTCTTGGTGATGATCTTTGAGAACATGCAAAGTGAACAGGTGCTCTTCATATATGGGTAGGCCTTCACTAGGTTAAGAGGACAATTTTTTTGTCAGGGAAATTAGGACAAAGTTTTTGTGGGGACCCTGCTCTGTCCCCATGACGTTTTTGGTCCCTGTAAAATAGGTAAAACATTGTGTGTTTGTCCCACGACTGCAGAATAAGTGTGTGTGTACAGACTGATCTGGTATTGGGCATTTTTGCCAGTAAACTAGGTTTTTCTCAATGAATATGGTTGTATACAAAATTACCCCACACTCTACTGGAACAAGGCACCATTGCATCGGAGCATCTGTATATTGCTGGTCCTGCTGGATGTAAATTACACTGGCATATTGTGTTCATTGATATTTACACATCCAGTATGACTTAGTCCTGAGAAACTTTTATTTTTAGATGTGGATTATTTTTTTTCAAGAAATGTTGATGTAACTTTGCAAAACATTTTTGGTTTGTTACCCAGCAAAAACATGGAACGGTCCCCGGTGCCATCAAGCCGAGCCCCTCCCTCATTACAATGGGACGATCCAAGAAGCCGTCATCATCGGAGAGTGATCTGGAAAATTACGCAGCCGAGAATGTGAACCGCCACAAAAAGGGTATCTTGAGGAGAAAGATCCCACTGGCACAGATGCTGTCATTCACTAAGGTACGCCTGCTAATATGCCTTAGTACTATCCCATGGTGCTATCCCATGGTGCTATCCCATGGTGTTATCCCATGGTGTTATCCTATGGTGAATCGCATGCTTTTTTCCCTCATGGTGTTATCCCACTATCCCATGGTACTATCCCATAGTGTTTTCTCATGGGGTTATTCCGTGGTATTCCGTGGCATTGTTCCATGGTGTTATTCCATGGTACTGTCCCATGGTGTTATTCCATTTTCTGTAAGAAGGAGATCCCATGGGCACAGATGCCATGAATAGATCTGGTGCTGATGTCCTGTAGTACTTTTTTGTAGGGGATACTGTGTTTTTGTAGGGAATAAAATTATTCCACTTTATTTTTGCCCATTTTGCATCCAGGACCCAATTAGGAAACCCATGCTGCTGACACGTGACAAAGTGGTCAAGAAAGAAGCAGTAGATGTCTTCAAGCTGATCCAGTGCTACATGGGTGACCGGGCTCTCAAGAACCTGACCCATGAATCAGTGTCACTGGACTTGGTCCGACGAGGGTGGACAGTGGAGGGATTACGGGATGAGATGTACATCCAAGTCTGCCGGCAGACCACGGCCAATTATGTAGAGTGAGTGGCTGTACCAAAAATACTGCTTGACAGATTTATGTGCTCAGCAGAAATCAGCTGGGATTCAGTCGCATACAGTACAGAATGCTTGACATTGTTATTAGTAGTAACTTGCTGCTAAGTAGATGGTATTTTGCTTAGCAGACTTCTGTGCTTAGGTCAATGAAGGTCAATGATAATACAGCCCTGGGGTAAATTTTTGTAGAGGTGGTAAGCTCAGATAGACACTAACCTTCTAATGCAAATATCCATTCTGAACAAAATTGTCCTCAGTCAAAATTAGTCAAGTGACTTTTTTTACAGTTTTTTTACAATTTCAAACTGTGTTTGATGTGGAAGCAATTTTTTTTTCATAGAGTACTCATGAAAGAAATACTCCCATTTGATCAGGTCAAGTGGCAACTTTTCAGCTTCCAAACTGATTTGATTTGTTGTGGTGAAATTGTTTACCTAAAAATCTATAATTCCTGACAAATGTGAGATGCTGAGAGCTGAGAAAAAAAATTTAAGAGTGATATTGCTTAATCAGTTTCATGGAACCGGAAATGTTCATTCCTTGTCACATAAAATCCTCGTTACACAAAATTTGATATGTAGAAGTTTTCACCAATGACAAGTAGTCTCTCAACCCACAAAATCAGATGAATTGCTGTTGTATTTGTACAAGTACATGCATTCATTGGTGGTTTTAATATGTGGACAGATTTTCTAATGCAGAGTCATTCCATGTTTGTTTTACAGTGACAGTTTACGCCGTGGCTGGGAATTGATGGCCATATTCCTCAACTTCTTCCCTCCATCCATTCGTTTCTTCTCTTATCTGGAGGGTTATATCTACAAACATCTCACTGGTGACTTTGATACTAGACAGGTAAGAAAGCCTCCATAGTTGACAAAATGAGAAAGCTGCTTTATTTCGTAATGGTCTCTTTTCGAGCCTTATACCACATGTTTATGCTTGTTTGCACTTGTGTGAAATGGAGTACGCATGAATAATTTGCAAGTCTGCTGCATGCTTGCAAGACGGCGGAGCCCATGAAAAGGTTGGCATTTCATTGTCGTCTCAGACTCTCAGTAATTCTCCGGTGAAGGGGTGTTTTTACTTAGAAACGATGTACCGGGGTCTTTGGCTCCTTTGTACGAATCCAAAGATGTTTTTTCATTAAGCCTCACACTTCACATTGGCTTTTTCCCAAAAGTTGTTCAAGTTTGATAGTGTTTTATCATAAGCCAAACTTAAATTTTTTTTCCCATTCCAAAGTGCTTAGGCGGTGTTTAGTAACAGGAAGCCTTTCAGTAATCCTCGTGACATGTAAAAATAGCTAGAGCAGCAATACAGGATGTCACAGGATGTCATTAATATATGCAACTATTCTGCATTGTGCTTGAGGCTGTCTTTATAAAAGGATATCTTAAATTGCCAACAGGATCCATAGATCTGGAAAGAATGAAATTGGAGGCTAATAGTTAGTTTAGACTACAATTGCCTTTGACTTCCAAAAGTCACTTGGTCAAACAAAAAAAAGTGTAGTTGGTCAGTTTTTTCACAGTTGTAGAAAGAATTTTCCATGCACTTTATTTTGATGTGTGGAGGACTTTCAGTGGTGAGTTTTGACTGTCAGCATTCAATTTACACGGATGTGCATGGAAATGTGCGCAAAGTCTCTCGATAGCCTGGTGTATGTGAAACTGGCAGTAGAAATACACAGATTCAAAAATGCACACGCTTCCATGGACATGGTACACTTCCTGAAATACCTTTGCCCATCATATTACATCACGTGAAAAACCTCCATTGGTCAGGTTGCATACTTGTCAAGATTAGGCATACATCAATACATCCTAATGATTGCTTACAGTTTCAATGATTTCCATTGCCAAATATTGCTTGAAAGTTTATTGTGGAAATTTGGGATGCGTTGTGTTAGATTTGTCACATGTTTTCTTTGGGTGTCCAAATGTAAAAGTTGGTTCTACTGTTTGTAGCTCTGATATGGCAAGGAAGAAGTAATTTGAAAAATGGTACTTTCCTGCTACATGCACCATTTTAAAGGTGGTCTTTGAGAAGCGTTATTGACTAGTTAACCCCTTTTGTGATTCTGCCCTCTAAAGAACTCAGCTGTCCCATTTCTGATCTTTTGAACTTGGTGTGCATGTGAAGACATCCATTATGAGCCTAACTGTGAAGTCTCGGTTCATTTAGATTTAGGTTTGTTTTGAGGTTGTTGTCCTAAATGTTGGCCCGTGAATATTGAGCATCTCACTGAAAAAAGTTAACATTTTGGCTGATCTGTGCTAGAAAAATAGGCCTTTGAAAAAAACTGGTGTTCCATATGACGGCAAGGAAAATTATTGGAGGCTCACCACACAACAAAATTGCATCGTGATAATATTGAGGCAAATTTAAGGAGGGTACCCCGTCCCCTGGATCTTTTAGGGTTAAAGCTCTTTGCTATTTTATCTAATAAGGAAGTTACTTGCTTTTCTAACAGGTTCCTGTGCGGCAGTATGCAGACCACTGCTACAAGAAACTGGAGAGGATAGCACAGACTGGTGCCAGGAAAGGTGTCAAGAAAATCACCCTGGAAGAAATCAATCTTGCCAAAGTATGTCTGAGTCTGAGTTGCGGTTAGCATCAATTTGATAGAGCTACTTGGCACAGTGATTGGCCAATGCAGAATGCAATGGGTTTTCAGTCTCTACCTGATCCCGTGGGTTTTACCCAGAATATTCCTCTGGGGTTTTCCTCCCACCTCTACAACTGTAACTGCTTCTCATTGTCTCTTCTCTGCAGGTTTCTTCAGGCTTGCGAGCTACAGTACCTAGGGCGCTTTTGAGAAATCCTTAGTATCATTACCAGAAATAAATAAGGATAATAATAACAATAGAGGTCACTGAGCCCCTAGTCCATCTCCTAATCCTTCAACTGGTTCTTTCTTCCTGTTCTTTCCTTCCCTAGGACTCGGTCTTTCATCCTTCCCTGTTTGGGAACACCCTAGATGAGGTCATGGAATTGCAGAAGGAACGGTTTCCTGACCGGAAGCTGCCGTGGATTGCCGTCGTGTTGGCGGAGGAAGTACTGAGACTGGAAGGAGAGAAAGTGGAGGGGATATTCAGGTCAGAACACCTGTGGCTAGCCATCGGAACTTTTTATGGGCTTTGAATTCACTAACGGAGAGTTTTGAAATTTGAAAAGGCTAAAATTTTCACCAGGAGCCAGTGGTGAAGTTGAGTTCATTTCAAGGCCCCTGGAATTCCACCTCAGTTCATCTATGAGAAGTCTTTCCCTCTCAAGCCAAGCCACAAGCAAGAGTGCAATTGAAAGAATTGAATTTTTTTGCATACTTTTGCTTACTAAATAAGGGCAAATGTTTCAATAGCAATTCTTGAATTGTTTGTTGCATAACACAGAGTTCCTGGTGATATTGATGAGGTGAATGCCCTCAAGGTCAAGTGTGACCAGTGGATTATGCCTCAGTGTGATGATGCCAACATCCCTGCCTCATTACTCAAGTTGTGGTACCGTGACCTCTATGATCCACTCATTCCCATGGAGTTCTATGAACGTTGCGTTAGCTGTGGTGAGAATGCTGAAGCTGCTTTGGCTATTGTACAAGAACTGCCAGACCTGAACCGGCTGGTGCTCTGCCACTTCATCAAGTTCCTGCAGGTGAGTCGGCTGGTACCTTGTATATGCATTGCCAAGTAGGCTCTCTGAATTAAATGGTAGGCATAAGCATTGTCTACAGACATATCCAAATGGTTTGGAACACTTTGCATGTGTAATCACATGGAAGTTTACACATAAAATCTTACAGTAGATTCTGTGTGATTTTTTCCATTCCAACAAATTAAGTGTTGCATCCACAGAACTCAATTTTGCTGAAATTATTTTTGAATTTGAAACACTGCTACTAAAAATGCTTCATGTACATTTTGTGTGCATCTTAAATAAAATGTTACTGTAAGAGAAGATGAGTGTTTGTAGAATCGTTGCATTAATGTGTTAAGATTGAATTGATTGCGGTGTTGAAATGAAATTTCAATGTAGAATTTTACCCTTGACTGACTTTGTTTTGTTTACAAGCACCCTTTACTTATTGAAGGGAAGAGTATTTGGACAAACAAAGAAAACACTGTTAATTATTACCATTTCTGTATTAGACTGAGAATTTGTATCCTCTGGTCTTACTCTTCCCCATCAGATCTTTTCCCAGGAAGAGAATGTTTCCAGAACAAAGATGGACATCAACAATCTAGCCATGGTCATGGCTCCAAATTGCCTGCGATGTGCCTCCGACAACCCTCAAATCATCTTTGAGAATACCCGCAAGGAAATGTCCTTTATACGTCTGCTCATCACCAACTTGGACACCATCTTCATGGCGGGCGTTATATAAGAGCCATCTCTGCTTTTTATTTCTTCAATTCATCAAAGTGTGACTTTTGTGTAGTGTATCTTCAGAGTGAGACTTGTGAAGTTATTTAAGGTGATGTGCATTAAGGACAGGTGTATGGATGGGCACCTGCTTGAATGGGACAATAAGAGATACAGAGAGAAGCAAGAATGTGTTCTTCCTCAAGGAGCACTTGTCAGGATGTGCCTACTGGATTTTGTCATGAAATTCTGATGCAGATTTCTTACGTGAAGATGACTCTCATATTCACAGAGACCTTGCCAGTCCATATAACATGAAAGTTGTATAAGCACAGGACCACCTGGACCTCTGGGTCTATGGAATGCTGGATCACAATGAGCCAAGGTTTAAGGATATCCATCATTCTCTGTACACTCTGCAGTAACACTAAATCAATATTCTGTGACATTCTACAGTATAGCACTCTATAGAGGTCTGTAGAGTCTCCTTACCAGCAGTCGTTGGACCGCCAGTGTTCTGTACACAAATCTATTCAGTATTACCATGGATTGTCAATAACCTCATCTGGTGGTTTGGTAAGCAGGCCTGTATGCAACACGTACCTCTCCCTGGATGGCAGAATGTGCTGGAAGCAGAGCTGTTTATAGAGAGAGATTCGACATGAGTGTCTCAATTGTTGGAACCAAAATGGTGGATTATGCATCAGTGCACAGGAACAGTTAGCACACAATAGCTGTATGCTGTACTGCACACGTAATGACCAGCCATTTTGGTTCCAAAGTCTTCAGTTGATGCTACTCTTTCTATATACATTTCTGGCTGTAAGGAGGCAAGGTCACCCTCTGGTAATTATAAATACCAGGTACAGTAGACTGGTGCATCATTTACCTGTCCTGTCCAGATGTGCTAGTGATAGCACATCCTTGTCACAAAACATCCTGCCAGAAATACGCAGCATTGTGGGTAGGTTGTCCTGGTGACATATGCATGTAATTTATAATTACATGGAAGTGGTTATCCCTGTTCACCAGTGAAGTTTACACAGTCTGTCCAATAAAAGCTCAGAGATGTTAGCTATGACAAGGACACATGGCAGTGGCCTCAAACGAAATAGGAAGAAAGAATGCCCCTCCAGTCTGAGGGATTTCTTTGTGAGATGGAGAACTTTGTGAGGGCGGAATGCCATCTGTTGATTATCCAAGGAGAGGGCTGATGCAGAATGTTACATTCAGGAATATTAGGATGGAATCCTTTCAAGAAGAATAAACAGTCAGGTCAAGCAAACAGAAATAATTGGAATGAATATTTGGGAGCTGTTGTCTCTTGAGGTTGTTGTAGGAAGTAATACTTGACTTTCCAAATGTAGCGCTAAATAAGAAACAATTTGAATAGCTCAGTGGGAAGAGTACTGTAATCGAGGTGTCTTGGGTTCAGATGCTGGGATGGTCCAATTCTGGTTATCCTATTCAAATCATGGCTGTATTATAAAAAAAGGTTGTACATTAAGGTGTGTAATATATTGAAGCCAATCAAACTATGCCACTGTGTTGTATGCACAGTTTTGGCCATTGACGTGGACTCCAGTCTAAATAACAGGTGCCCAAAATTCTTATATATTCTTCTTGTTAGAAACTAAAATGGCACACAATAGTTCTCTGTATTCAGACAAAGTACAGTAATGTATCATACTTTCATGCATATCAACAGCAGCTTGAAGTTTGAATGCAAATATGATCATTACTTCTCCTTGCAGTTCCAAGGTATTGTGGGTAATAATTCAAACCCACAGCCAGTAGTTCCAAGTGACCCCCAAACTTTGTGATGAACTGAGTGATTCAAGTTAAGTGTGACAGTTTATTCCAAGCAGAGAGTGCATATTGCACATGTGCACCAATAAAACCCTCTTTACTCACATTTGAAATAAAAATCCCATCATGCACTTTTGTCTCATTTGGAAACGTCATACATGTAGTTACCGTTTTCAGTCTGGTATACATTTTTTATGGTATCATGCAGTGATAAATTATATAGTTCAACACAAACTCTGCTGAGTCTACCAGTATCCAGCACCAGGTAGTATCTTGTGGATTTTGTTCTTGGAAGCCATGAACTTGATGAAGTAGACACTTGTTTTGTTTCTACGTTTAGTAGTTGGATTTTGTTGGATGTAGCCATTGCCTGAGAAATGCTGAAGAAGGTTTGGCATAAACTGAAAGATTACAGGAACCAAGATTTGTAGCAGGTCCCAGATCCTACAGATACTAAGCATACATCACACAAACTCCACGTGCTGGCTCCAATGTCATGGAATTACTGCTCAGCAAATTTACCTGCTAAGCAGTACTCAGCTGGGGCAGAAGTCACAAGTAATGCACAACACATGATCTGTTTGTAAACTGATTTTTTTTTTTCATTCAGCTGCTTAGTGAATTTTTGCTTCGGTCTGCGTCTATGCCATAAAACCTGTAATGTCTCGTCCAGTGTGTCACTCTGGTAAGCCTTTAGTTTCAAAAATGCAAGCCATTAATTGTCAGTTAAGTTTACTTGGATGGCTCCTCATCCGAGGTACTGAGACAAAATGGTATATTTCACTGAAAATTAGTCATGGATATTGAGCTGAAATGTTGCTTGAGCACATTCAATTGAAAATTGTACATTGTTCATTTTCGGTTGTGCACATTCAGTAAAGAATTTGTTCTGCACACTTAGTTGAACATTTTTTTTGCACATTCAGTTGAAAATTAGTTGTGCACATTAATTTGAAACTTTGTTGTACACATTCATTTGAATAGGTGCATATTCTGCATTATTCAGCACGATTCTGCTCAATTCTGTGTATGGAGTATTGCTTGTATCTAGTGTGTGGTCCCTTGGCTGCCATGGGTAGTGGTTCAGAGAAAGTCCCACAGTTCCTACGCAGTTCCTGCAAATACTCAAAAGAGCTAAAAGGTTAATGCGAGTGGGACGACTTGTCAATTTGGCTAAAAAAGTATGGCATAAAGGCCTTAATTTCAGTCCTACCAAAGTATTTATACCGTCAACAATTTATATATCTTGACCATGTATCTTAAGTTAAAAATAACTTGTGTATAAATCAACCAACCTCTGCATATTGTTATAAATAGAGTCAAAGTTATGTGAACTGTACAAAGATCCTTAGAACAGATGTTAGAGAAAGTTCTGGGGGGTCAAATTGGTAGTGCTTGTACCTTGAAGTAGTCACGCGTGGCATTTTTTGTGGATTAATATAACAAGGTTTAAGCATGGTTTGAAGGCGATTGGTGCAGTCCTTACCAGATTACAATGGCTTTCAATTCCTCATTGAAACCAAAGCCTGCTTTGTTCCTACATATCAGGAAGGTTGTACATGTACTTCTCCTTTGGGGGTATTTAGGTGTAGCGTTGAAATGCTTCAACTAATCAAAATTTGCATTTACCTGAATTTGGGTTATGAAGGTTTTCCAATGACCTGTGATTTAAAATGGTATCTCATCTTGTACATGAGATTGCTTATCTAATTTTTATGTCGTACTTCATCATTAAGGTGTGTATAGGTATGGTCATTGGTGTGACTATGAAGCATGGCCACACCAATGAATACGCCATATTTAAAAGGAAGGTTTTGCCATCAGTGTGTGTTTCACTTTTTTATATTGTGTATAGTTCATGAATGTATTTATTATTTAGTTCCCTAATCATTTCAGTCCATTTTGTTGTTAGGGTATGACTTTAAAAGGGAAAAAGTGGGATGGGGGCGACTACAATTTCCACTCCAAGGGCTCAATTTCACGAAGCTGCAGCAAATTGTATGGCTGAGTAAAATTTGGCAGAGAACCAGTCATGAGGAGCACTCATCATGTGACATTGTGGCTGGTAACCTGTTTTTTGAGCAAGCTCTATGATATTGGCACTGGGATATGTGGGATCATTCTGTGTTTAGCACAAACATACATACATGTATAGATCAAACGTCAGATCAAACTCAAGCTGTAAATAGATTTTCTTGAATTTTTTTTGTTTTCCTTTTTTCACCCATGCCCGTCTTTTTCCCACTCAGTTTGAAAAAAAGCTTATTCATAGGAAGTTTCTGCCTTTTTAGGTAAGAAACTTCCCAACCTGCCTTAACTTGGTTTAACTGTAGCTAGTCTGGTTTTATGTAGTAAAACCAGTCTTATAAAAGCAATACTTGTACAATTGAACAAGCAAGGTCAAGGTGTGCTCACATATCACTGCAACTCATTGCTGATGTGCATTTCCTTAAACCCTGTCAGAATTTTATCATCAGTGTTTAAACTAGTCACGGAGAACATAAACTTTAAAATAGTGTAAACTTTGTGCCATCACTGTATGACTGACCAGCATTACTTTTTGCAAGGAATAAAAGCAGAATTGTTTGGTTGCCAGCTAAACTTCAACTTGGGTGAGTTTTTGAAATTACCCAAGCAGCGATATTTCTCTCATATTTGATTAAACATTGACTCTGTTTGCACTGCAGTTAAGGTCTTATTATGCAAATAATTAGTGTGATGTGTACAAAATGCACCAACCAATCAGAGAACAAGTCTCCAAATGGCACTGGCCTTGTTATCATCCTGAGTGTTACATGTATGCCAGTACAAAGTGATGTTATGGAGTTTCAGTCAATCAGCGGCAAGCCTATGAGGATGTGTGGCCAAGTCAACCCCACTCCAATTACATTGGAGAAATTAATTTGCTGAAGCAAACATGTTACCAGCTGAGAGTTTATGTGGAGTAGTACTGCATCTAATTGGTTCCCTGCCCATGCTTGCTGAGTAAATTCACCAAGTAATATTTCTTTGCCAAACGATAGCATAAAATGTGGCTTTGTTTGTTGGCAGCACATGGAGTGCTCGGCTTTCTAAAACCGATGTGATTTTTTACTTCTGAAAATGAATGTTCAAAAGCCTCACCTAAAATATTAAAGAAAAAGTGTGAGGGAAATTTTATCTGATTAATGGCTTTCATGGGTTTTTGACTTGTCAACAGAGTTTTTGTAACCTTGAAAATGTGGTAACCAAGACATGAATATATCATTGCAATGCAGTTATTCATGAATATTCATACTGTACCGTACCAAATGCATGAATTATGTAATAAACTGATTGTCATATTTCCTATATCACTGAGTAGCCTTGCAATATGTCACCTTTATGATTAGTTTAAAGTACTTTTACATGTTCAACCATGCATACATGTGTATGCATGTGAAAACTCGTTATTATGCAAATTATTTTGAAATGGTATCATATTTTGGTTAAATGCATTTGGAATTGGATATTGTCATTGTTTCTAAAGGCTTTGGTTTTCAGGAATTTTCACTGTCAATTATCCAGCACACTGTACTTAAATTGTAAACTTTTTTAATATAAACAGTTGGAAAAAAAGGCTGACTTTCGTATGATGGACCCTTGTATTCAAAAAATGATGAGTGGTAAACAATATGGCCAGTACTTACAGAGTACCAGCCAATTCTGTAATATTGCAATGAAGTTTGGGAACTAACCTAATTTGCATATTCAACTGGTATCCTGAAATAGCACCACTAGTGGTAAGAGCTTGGTATCCCACTGCATGTTTATAGTGAAATGTTAAATCTCATGATTGCTAAGGTGTTTTGTTTTATAAAAAAAAATCAATAGAAATTAAAGTGTTTATTTGCGAGGTTCCCCCCCCTGTCAAGAAAACTTAGACAGTGTAGTTACTCTCCAGTAATGTATGAAAGTTGTTGATTAATAAATTATCAATAAGTTATCAAAGTTATAGTGCATGCCTTGTCTCAGTGTATCTAGAGTGTTGAGCAATTGCATGAGTATGTAGCCCTTGCCCCCAGGATATAGACCTTATGCAAAGCAGACATCTTTGAGGTACATGTAGGTATTTGTCAATCAAATCCTGTAACGGGTGTAGAGGTGTCCCTTGGCCTGTCCAAGAGGAACAAAGACTTGCTTCAAGACGTGTCTGCACTGAAATATCTGTATATTTCATTCCCTTAAAGAAGAATAAGAACCCCCCAAAAGCATGTCCACTTCTGAGTCACCTACAACTACATGAAACTAAAAATCCATATCAAATGGACTTTATTTTGAATTTGCCTGAGTGAAGGGGCTTGACCTAAAAGTTGACTAATGACAACCAACATGGTACCTTTACTCCCGTAGTAATCCACTGACTGGAGACAAGAATAACGTGTCAAACACACTGGTTTAATTTAGAGAAAGACAAAGTGATAAAAATACGGGTACAATCACGGCCTTGACAGAAAACTACCACACACAAATGAGTGTCATTCCTGGAAAAACCCATACGTGACCAGATCCAACAAAATGAGTCTTTAAGGCCATATTTTTAGTAATTCTGTTTTAGTTTAAATGAGATAGAGCAAACTGAGCTCTTAGTATTGATGTATCGCACAGTTTGGCATCCAGATAAAACTGACAATAATGTATGGAATATTAATGGAGAATGTTGGGGGTCCCAATGATTCACATGGCATAAGATTGTCTTAAAGACCTTTCACTCAAAAGCTGCTCTGGTGACCTGTGACTCATTTTGTTATGTTGGGCCACATATTTACATAGTGCTTAATGGTGTGCAATAAATGTTAAAATTCCAATAAAAGGATGACGCATACAACATTAATTTGCAACTATTCTCAATGTTGCCCACATAAACGTGCCAGTTGTCCAGCTGCATTAAAAAGCAAAAACTCCAAAAGTCATCTTTTGACGATGCTTTGAAATGAATTCCTTCAACACTTTTTCAGGTGCATGTATATGTTCTAACTGACCAATTAAGTCAGTGACCTGTTATTGGTAAACACTGTTACCTGATTTTACATGATTCAGTCATCACTGAAGTTAAGCCCATGTACTCATAAGTTTAGTTACAAAAATCACACACCCTGGAATAGGCAAATAAGGATGAACAATGTTAAAGGAATGTCGTTGCTGCTGCTCATGAGGTTCTGCACATGAAATAGCATGACAGGTGAAGGCATATCAGGAAGCCTACCATGTCCGTGGAGGTGTGTACATTTTGGAATCTGTGTAATTCTATTGGCAGTTTCACATATGCCAAAGTGGTTACGGACTTCAAAGGCGTGTGCATTTCCATGCCCTCCTGAATGCTGACCATCAAAAATCATGTGACTGAAAATCCTCCATAGCTTGTGATTTGAATTAAGACTAACTGAAAAACTTGTGATGGACTCAAAACTGATCTACAACACAGGATATTATACAAAGTTAATCAGACTGTACCCCATATACCAGCCACATAAAGCAGCAGAACTGAAAAGCTCTCAGGATCACAGCCACTGATGATTTTATCAGTATGAAAAATAAATGTGATATTTTCAATCAAAAGATTCATCTCTGCCTTTGTAGAAAAGAATCCGAGAGCCAATTGATGAAATGCAGAAAGCTGCCATAATTCATGAGTTTATTCATGAAGTTGATCACCTGTGAACTAGCCGGATATATTACTTCACATGGCATCTTGACTTCTGACCAGGTTTGGTAAGTTTAGCCATGTGAAGGATTTACTCTTACCTTTTGGATTAACAATTAGGCCATTATTATTAACACAAGTGAAAGGAAATAATGGCACACATGTAGTTTCTTGTCACATTTCATGCAACTAAAATTTATCAGAGAATCATTCGCAAACACTTGGTACATTTAGGTAAAATTTTGGCTTCCATGGCCTAATTTCATAGCACTGCTGAACAACTAGCACAGAAATGGCTATAGTAAGCAGAAAATAATGGATGCTGTTTAACCCAAGATCAGTCATAAGGTACAAACTTATCAACCATTAACAAAGTACCGCAAAGTGATTAGTCAAGACTAGAACCCTGTTATGTGTATTAATGGTGCAAGAACCAGCATGTAAATCAACATGTATTGTACTCCATTCGTTGGCATTACACTTCCCATTTAAAATATCACACTTTGGTAACTCCATAGGACAGGGGAAATTTCGATTTTTCCAAGTAAATTGGTGATTTTTCATCACTTATCATATCTCTTTTTATTTTTTTGCCTTTTATCTACTTTTTTATTTTTCAATTGTTTGGGGGAGGTAGGACAAGCCTCCCTCCCCCAAGATGCCCAAGCAAAGATGGAGATTTCCACTCAAAGCTCCCTCATAAAAGCAACATTTTCCACTGGAGTTAAACATCCTTTTGCAGTGTTAACAGCCGAACAGTCTCTGTGAAATAGATGGCAGCGCTGTCGGCAAACTGGATTCAGATAGTAAAACTCCTTCTTGATCACACTGCATATTTATATCTACATACTCATGTCTTGTCAATGCTCTGCCTCTCAGGGACCTGACCACAATAAGGCAGGTCCGTATGTGTTTACCCCATTGCTTTCAAGACTTGTGTCTAGGAATCAGACTTCGCTGGACCATTTATCGAGGCAAGCAATACCAAAATACTCTAGGGCCCTAGCAAGAAGACAGTCATTAAATTCCCATGCAAGTTCATTTTTAAGACACGATTTGATTTACATCTCCCATAAAACCGAGTTCAATGCAATTCTATAAACCACACTCTTGTTCCTTAAAATAAAGACGTAACTGTGCTGTTGTCCACAGCACCAGAATTCCTTTTGCCTTCCTTCCATTAATGCATTAATTTGAAAACGCACATGGCAAAAGAAATGACTGAGTTCAGAAAAATAAAACTCAGTCTAAAATTGACCTTTCATGACGAAGAATGCTTTATAATAAAAAAGTGATTACAAAACTTTTGGCAAATCTCAAATAGTCTTTACATATCAAATTGTCTATAGAATGTTTGCACCTTCATTACAATACAATTACTGTGTTGTAAATGGTTTACCTAAACAGGTGTCTTTTGTAAGTTTACTCACTGCTAGTCTGCTACGTTCTAGTGCAAAACTCTTCTGAAAAAAATGAACATCAGAAGTACTGACCAAAATACCTCCACTAGCTTCACTGTTTATCTAGAGGAACTTCTTAAGAGAAACCGTTGCTTACCAAATTTCCATGGGATCTTAGCTGGTAATATGATCTTGCTAAGTAACTTTTTGTGCTCACTAGCTCAAAGAAATTCCCCATGATTTTTCTAACAGGTTCCTGATCTTCATAAAATTTCAATATTTAACATAAATTTATCAACTGCGTATGTATATATGTTTCCATTCCATATTGCTTGTGCATTTCTATGCACCAGAAGTAAATCTAAAAAACAGAAAGGTGAAAGCCAGCGGTGTTTTTCACAATCCAAGTAATGAAACAATAATCTACCATCTACATCTATTTTTATTTCTGTTTAAAATAACATCCCTGTGGCCTCTTCCTTTTGAATCTTGATGCTTTTTATTCATTAACCACTTCCTGCCGGGGACTCCGGGATCAGAGACGTATGGTTTATATGGGTGGCCGGGGTTTCCGAACTCGGACAAAGGAAACACCTCCCTGTAACAAAAGACCGTACTCCGAACAAAAGACAGGCTGCT